ATGCAGAGTTGGCTGGTAAAAACAGTGAGAGAGTATCAAGTTGAGGATGGAGGGGACGTTGGCACATGTGGGCCGGAGCAACCTCTATGGACACAGAGCTCGCAGTGTTAAGCAAGAAATGAACACATTTTACACTGTGTGGCCCAGGATTCCCCAGCTGCACATAGATGATCACACAGATATTTTCCCACAGTGCTTAAGGAACCCTGCATAAGAATTTTTGTTGTGGATTTTTTTGAGGTTGCAGGTGAGTTTTTGGAGACACCTAAGTATCCTTTCCTGCAAGAGAAGTAAAATGAAGTGGCCACAAACTATGGAGTGCCATACCAGGGATCAAACTCTGGACCGCCTGCTTGCAAGGCAGGCACTTATGCCTGCTAAGCTAAATCTCCAGCCCTAACAATGTAATGTCACTTTGCTCTGCGCTGCTCCCTCTGCTCTGTTTTTTTCTCCTCTTCTCTTTTCTCCCTTTGTCTTCCCTTCCCCTCCCTGCCCTCCCCTCCCTTTCCCTCCCCTCCCCTCTCTTCCCCTCCCCTCCCCTTCCCTTCCCTTCCCTTCCCTTCCTGAAAACTCCACCCAGAAGCCACTAGGTGGGGCTGACCAAGGCCAGACATTCTCACAATGGAGAGACTATGTGTGTCAGTGACCTAGTGTGGGTGCTGGGATCTATGAGAGCTGGGGGACATCTGCAGTGTCACAGTAGATGTCCAATCCCGCATGAGTGAGAAGCTCCACAATGGGGCAAGGTGACAACAGGAATCTCACTGTCAAATACACATAGTGAAAATAACAAGAAGCCAAGTTTCTCACTGGCAGAGAAGGAGGGGAAAATAATTGCAAAAGTAGTTTTAAGAAAATGATAAAGAGCTCTGCATTTGAATTGGAACTGGAGTTACTGGTGTGAATTAATGGGTCTCAATAAACATAAATGCAAATGTGTATAAATGCATAGACACACTCTCTGGCCCTGTCTATTGAGAGGGTCTCAGGGCTACAACCCTCAACACGAATGACCCTAAGTAGGCTCCAGATCTCAGTAACTTCTAAATAACTTTTGAAGAAATATTACTTACTAGAAGAGCCAAGAATCTTTAGGGAGAAATAAATGGCTGATTCAAAAGGTAGAATATGGAAAACTATAACATGAAATTGCTGTCATATGCTAGAAAGCAAGGAAATACTCCAAAAATGACAGAGCTGCATTTAAAGAAACAGGAATCTCTGACAAGGGTACCAAGACAGCTCAGTAGGGGGAGGACAGTCTTTGTTTAAAACAATGTTGAAATCACTGGTCATCCACAAGCAGAATGACCAAGTTGGATTCATGCATCATTAACATTAACTCAAAACTAATCAAAGACCTACATGTGAGCAAACCAAGACTATAAAACTCTTAGGAGGATATATAGGTCTAAATCTTAATACCCTGAGATTTGGTAATGGCTCTCTACATATATCAGAAGCACAAGCAATAGAAGACAAAAACAAATAAATTGAATTTTGTTTAATGTGTTTCAAAAAATACTATCAAGAAAAGTGAAGACAGGGAGGCATGGCGGCACATGCCTAGAATCCCAGCACCCGAAGGGACTCAGGCAAGAGGATCACAAAGCCAAACCCAACTTGGGCAACTTATCAAGACCTTGGCTCAAAATTTTAAGAGGTGGGGTTATAGCTCAGTGTGAAGGTGCCAGGTTCAGTCCGCCTGGGTTCAAGGATCTCCAGTACTGGGGAGGGCTGAGTCTGAGAAGGAAGGAAATGAATCACAACCTACAGAATGAGAGAAAATTTATTAATCACATAATGGCTAAGCTATTTTTATCTATGTATAATATACATGTTAAAAGCTCAAATGACATAAAGACGATCAAATATAAAAGTGAGCAAAAGGGGCTGCAATTTAGCTCAGTGGCATAAATGCCTGCCTGGCAAGCATGAGGTCGAGAGTTCAATCCCCAGAACCACAGGAAAAAAGTAGGCAAGAGGATGAATAGACCTTTCTTCACAAACGGCCAATAAATGGCCAATAAATAAAGACCTAAACATGAAATGCAAGTCAAAACCACAATGAAATAGTACTTCATCCCCACTAGAATGGCTGTAATCAGAAAGACAGATAATAGAAAGTGTTGGTGAATATGTGGAGAAATGCAAACCTTTTATTCGCTGCTGAGGGGAAAAGTAAAAATATCACAGCCACTTTGGGAGAAAAAAAAGAGTAGCAATCTTTCAAAAAGTAAAACACATGATAGGCTGACAGCAGTGTCACATATAATTATATGCCTCGGACAAATGAAATATAACCACACAAAAACTTTTACAATGACTTTCATGACTATATTATTTTTAATAACCAAACTTCCATCCAAATGTCTGTCAACTGATGGGTAAGTATAAAATGCAATATGCTCATATAGCAGAATGTTATTTAGCCATAAAAGGATGAAATGCTGATAAATGCTACAATATAAATGAACTTAGAAAGGATTATGAGTCTAAGTGAGACAGACCAGTCACAAAAAAAACATGTATTATATTCATATCATATGAATCTTTAGAATAGCAAAACTATAAAGATAGAATACAGACTAAAAGTTACCTAAGGCTAGAAGGTATGGGGGGCTGAAAGGTGATGGTTAAAGTATACAAGGCTTATTTTTGAAAGGATGAAAATGTTCTAAAATTGATTGTACAGATGGCTTGTACTACTCAGTGGCTATACCAAAAAAGCCACTGAATAGTGTACCTTAAGTAGGTTGCTACACAAATTATATCTCAATAAAGCTTTTACAAAGAAAACATCTCAAAGGGACTCCCACATTTAGGACAATAAAATAAGCAATGAAAATAACAAATTAGAGCCAATGAATAAGATATTAATCCATTTGTTATCAAAATAAACAACCACAGTATGATGAGGAGCAGGATATATACATAGTCTCAAAATTTCCTTCTTGTAAAATGCTTATTAATTATAAAGGAAAACATAATAACTTGATAGAGAGAAACTTGAAAAACACCATCTTACTCAACTGATCCAAGTTAGCAAACATGGAAAAGAATCAAGTCCCACCTGAGAGAATACAATGAGAAAACTCAGCAAAACTTCTGAGATGTTCCTACCAAGGTGCATAACGTGAATTGAATCATGAGAAAATAGCAGGAAAATCCACACTGAAAGAAATTGTGTATAATAACTGGCCCTGAAACTCAAGCAAAGGCGAAAACTATCACAAACTGAGAGAGACTAAAGAGGCTGGCAACTAAATGCAAAACATAATCTCAACTGAATGAATCTCAACTGAAATTAGGAAAATTTTCTTAATCACTGGCAAGATTTAGACAGCTAAATTTCAATGGCTAAGCTAAGCACAAAGAAAGACTTCATGTTTTACCTTTATACTTTGGCATTGTTTTCATTTTAGGATAGTGTTAATTTTTTGATTTTGATGATTCCATTATGATTATGTAATGATCCCTGTTTGTTAGAAATACAGAATAAAATATTATATCAGTAATTTATGCTCAAATAGGTCAGGGAAGGAAGAGGGGAGTTCTTTGTACAGATCTCTAAGTTTTAGATTGTTTGAAGTAGAAGAAATCATAACATATATAAAAATAATTAGCCTATATTTTTAAATGTCTCTTGTAAAGACAAAGTAAATAAACTGTTCCAGCTGAAGCAAATTAACAAAATCTTGAAAATTAAATGCAGTTAATAATACTGGATTAAATCCTGGCCAGAAAAATAAAATAAGAAGAATATTACCAAGACAATTAGCATAAAATCTGGAGATTATGTCATAGCACTGTGTCGGTGCTGGATTTCCTGATTCTGATCCTTGCCTTGTGGCCATATAAATGAAGATCCTCCTCTTAGGAAATATACACAAAAGCATTCAAGAGGCATGATGTCTGCAGCTTATTGTCAAATGCCTCGTAAAAACAACTTTATAAATATGTGGAGAAAGAAAATGATAAGTCAAATGAGGCTATTTTAAAACAATGTTTTAACAATTTTGAAAACAAATCACCTATAAAGCCTAGCATTATATAATTGAATTTAAAACACATGCACAAAAAACAATGCATATTTTGTGAGACCATACATCAACAACAAAAACAGAATTTGGGGGTTTTGGGGATAAAGGTGCAGGAAGGAGAAGAATGGGAATATTCAGGCTAAAGAGAATAAATACACAATATTTTTGGAAAGGAGAGAAGAGATCTAGCAGGGAAAAAAACCCCCAAAATTTCATATCTTACACCTTTGAGTTTGCAGAAATAGAGGCAAGCATAAAGAAAGACTTTATATTTTATCTTTATACTTTGGCATTTTTTCCATTTTATGATAAAAAATACATTTATGTATTACTTGTACAACTTCTAAAGTAGAGAGAAAATAGGGAAACATCCTTTATTTTATCCAATGATTAAAAATGAAATAAAGTTATGTCCACAAAGTAAGAAGACCACAGCCTATTGTTAAGTCTTGTTAAAAAAAAAAATAATAAGTGGATGGTAGGACATTTACCTGGCACACACAAGGCTCAGAGTTCAATTCCCAGTAAAGGGAAAAAACATAAAGGCGATTTGCAGAGTAGAACGCCAGTATGACTCACCATGGCTAAAAACATAGTTTGCATATACAACTTTCTAACTATAAGCCATGCTCCTTCTGGCAGGAGGACTCACCAGTTTGTGTTAACTTACAATTTTTAAATGAATGAATTTTAGGTGAATATATTCTCATTATGACAAAGGCGAAATAACATATGCACTGTTATTATTTACAATATCTATTACTGTGGCTTAGAGAAAGACATTTCTTAAAGCACTTAATAATTTAAAATAAGGAAATATAAACCCCCTTTTGACCAAACACAACGTAAAACAATAACGATTATGTAGTTGTGCCTCTATTAAGAAAGCAACCTTATAAAATAATAGAAATGCCCAATGGTGAGGCTGTCAAGTTTCCAGCAGCCACCTGTACTCACGCTCTGAAATGCATTCGCCACCAGTGTGCATCTCTCCAACCCAGGAAACCTCGAGGCCTCTGCACGCAGGTTTCTGCCAGGCCATCGCAGTCGGGCGTCTGGGCTTCACCTTCACGGCAAGTCTCACCTGACTTTCTCCAGGAGAAAAGAAATCCCGCCCTCAGGCTTCCATCGCGTCCTCTTCCCCGTCTCTCCAAGTGTCACCACTTCGTGCAGTTAATTTTTGTTCCCCATCTCTCTCCGAAGAGGTTTGGGGTGCAGAGAAAGCGTTTTAAGGCAAGGACTAATTGTTCACATCACGCACTAACACTATGCTCTGCCCATGACTGCAAAATAAATGCCCGTGAAAGTAGCTTTAGCAAGCAGTTCGGCAATGTACTAGCAGAAGTGAAAATGCCCCTATCCTGCTGAACCAATAAGGATCCTAAGGAAATAATCCTCCCCAAGGAGAAATCTGTACATTTGAAGATATCGGTCCGCGCGTTGTTTTAAAATGAAAATGTGTGAACACTTAGGAATGTCTGACCACTGAACGATTTAAGTAATTATATAGTAAAACAATACCACACTAACCCTCCGCGTAAAAGTATATTTCTCAGGGTCATAGCACACAGCAAACATTGAGGGACGAGCTCACGTAGAAAAATCTGCATACAAAACTCAAGATCGCCAGGGCTAAAGCTATGCAAAATCAGGAAGCACGTAAAAAATGACTGAAGAGGTCTTTGGGAGAGAGAATCCTGGTATTTGTTCTGCTTTTAATTCTAACATTGCTTTAAATATATAAACAGCGGTCGGAAGCGGCAGCCTTAAGAGGAGTCTCCACATTGTTTATACGGTTTTAAAACGGGGGTGGGGGGGTGTATCCAGAGGAATGCATTCCTAATGGGGGGATTGCTAGCAATCAGACCAGCAAGTGAGGACTGAGGCCCGAGAGTGGCAGTTCCAGGTTTGATCCACGCAAAGCCACAGTCACCAAGTCCACTTGGACCGAAGGATGTAAAAGGGCCCCCTCACGACGCATCAATTCGCTGACGGCCACCCAGGTCAGGCTGGACGGATCCAGAGGTTGAATGAATGACTTTTCTCCCGCCATCAGTCCCTTTGTCACAGTTTCCCCGTTAGTCACCTCCAAATCCCCAGCAAGACCCACTTAACAGACGGATTCTGGAGACCTGCGGGAGGGGGAGCCGCAGCCGGGCGGCGCTTTGTTTGGGTGGCGCGCGGCCTCCGGGTTTCCGGCCCCGCCCCTGCCCACTCGGCGGCCCCCCTTTCCCCGGACCCCAGCTCTGCAGTCCTCGTCGCCCACACACTTGGCGCCTTCTTCCATTTCTCGCCTGGCTTCCGTCTCTTCCCTGCTGCTTCCCTTCTTGCCGTCCCCGCGTCCGCCCAGCCTTCTCCCGTCACCTTGTCCCCCGAAATTTGCAAACTTCGCCCCTAGAGAGGTGGACTCTTGGGTCTTCCTTAAAACCAGCCTGGCCCATTGCACACGCCCTGGAGGTTGGAGAGGCTGAGCCGCACGGCCATGCACCACGGGTCCACTTTCCCGGGCAGCAACCTTGGGAAGGCCGAGGCTGACACCAGGGAAGGGAGAGGCGAGTCCCTGGGGAGGAAGGACCGGGCTTGGGGACGCGGAGATGGCGACGGGGCGGGGCCACCGCCACCCAGAGGCCCTGAGAGCGCTCTTCTATCCATCTGCCTTTCAGTTTTTTTCTTAAATCATTCACCTTGGTGGGGACTTCAGAGTGGAGCACACACAGCATGTCCTACAGTACCCCCAAGTTCTCCTTGGGTATCCAAGACTTCTGAAAGACAGGAAGCAAAAGCTCAAGGAACAGAGGAAGAAACTGTCCTAAAAAGCGTGGTGGGCATGCAGACTGCGACTCACTTCCCTCTAGGAAAAAGCTCGTCCCGCTGGGCTGCCCGCGAAGATTCCCCCTCCGCACCCCACAGACGCACAGAGCGTTGGGGACTGGGTCACGACCCTTTGCACACAAATGGTGCCACAGTCCCAGTGTTGTCCCTCAGGGAGATCACGATGCCAGGGGAAGGGAGAGACGTGCTCTTGACCCAAAAGAATCAACAAAAAATGCAAAAACAAAAACCCTCCTTTGCAGTCTGGTGTCTTTTATTGGAACGTTTGCTTGCCTAAGAGATGCTTTACTTTGCCAGAAGGTGGTGTAAAAATTAAGGAAGTTGATTTTTAACCGGGAGACCAGTCCGTAAACACTGATCTGTCCGTCCGCAAGCCCGAGCCTGGAGCTCGCACACTTTCTTTGCCACCGTCTCGGATTCGCCCTGGGGGTCACCTCGCCGCCCGCTCGGCCTCGGCCAAGGCCCAGGCTGGGCGATGTCCCTGGCCCGCGGCCGCCGGAGCGCGCAGCCCGGGCGGGCCCGAGACCCGGGTCGAGCCCTCCGCGCGCTCGCTCTCCGGGGACGCGGCTCCCCGGGCGCCCCGGCCACCGCGATCGGCGCTGCGGCTCCGCGCGGCCCGAGCCCGCCTCTCCGGGAACCTTGACCTCGCCGCCACACTTAGCTCCAGCTCTCCCTGACCTGCTTTTGAACCTGCTAATCCCGCCCCGAACTCTGGCCCCGCGGCGATCCCTCGCCCCAGCCCGGCGCGCTAATTCCCGGTGACCCCGCTGCGCCGCCGCCTCTCCCCGCGGGCGCAGCTGACACGGGCGGCTCGGGCTCGGGCGCGGAGCCCGCAGATCCCGCGCTGGACGCATCCTCGCGCCGGCTCCCGCCCCGGGAAAGAGCCTCGCTCTGTTTCTTCGGTTCCCTTCGATTTATTTCATTTGTTTCTCAAAGAAGCCTAAAGATCGCGATCTTTGGTAACACAGGAAAGTGGCGACGCCGTGTGGCCCGCAGGCACCTTCCCCGCGGCGACCCGCGGCAGCAGGGGAAGGAGGAGGCGGCCCGGAGCGCAGGCGGCTTGGCTGGAGGAGCAGCGGGCACCGTGGCTTCATCCCTGCTTTTAAAGGGGAGAGTGGATTTCCATCCACGATGGGGCAACAGTTTGGGACTGACTGGGTTTGGAAAGACACGAACTTGTCCTTTTGAAGTCCTATATGCTCTCCAGAATTTTTGTTTCTCAGATGCATGTTTTATTTTTAAAAAACTGATTATTTACTTTGGGACAGTCTTGCTAAAAAGCTCGGGCTGGCCTCGAATTTGAGAAGCCTTAGCTTCAAAACAGCCGCGGTTAAGCGCCTGTGCCAGCCGGCACAGACTGATTAGGATTTTTAAAGTTGATGAAATTAGTTCATATAACAAGCATTTACAAACACACCCCACACACGCGTCCAAGGCGTGGGTCTGTGTTTATCTCGGGCTGTTTGTTTTGTTTTTAAGGCAAATGAACCGAGCATGAGGCAGTTTCTCTTCCAACTCTCACTGGGCACAGAGCAGGCTGATAATTTGTAAGGAGTTATTTTCAGAGACTATTTTCTAGGCAGGGAAACAAACTGAAGACACTGACTGGCTTTGTGCTCTCTGTGTGAACCAGCAGGCCCTATAAGATCAAACTTCGGTGTCCCAAGCCTTAATCCTATATAGGCATTAGACTGCCCAAAGGGAAATTAGCCGTCTCCAGAAATGTATGTGTTATCACTTCTGGGATTTCAATCTGTTTGGTTCATAATTGTCCACAAGCACCCAACAGACTTCCTAGAATATAGTAGGAGCTCAATAAATACTTACTAGATGATGGAAACTCCAAAGAGAGTGAAGTATCCGTTGGAAAAGTGTTCCCGGTAGCTATAAATTCCCAGGAGCATCCTGGGGCAGGCTGGGACCTGCAGTGGGTCTCAGCGAGTGAGCAGCACCTCCCACAGAGGTCCAACAGCCATCCCACAGGGTCTGTTACATGGTTTCTCCACTCCTCACCCTTTCATTTGGGAAGTCTATTTCCAGGATCAAGGGAGAAAGAATTCCTCCAGTTGCCAAGCTTCTGCTTCCTGTATCACTCCACGAGGTCCTGGGTAACCCCCTCTCTGTACCCCAGGCACTGGGCAAGCAGCCGAGAGGTCTCAGGCACTCCAATCCAGATCCAACTGAACCAGAGAATAGGTGGGTCTCCTGCAATGACAAGATGAGGGGGTGTGGGGAGAGGGTGCCAGAGACAATGCAGTTCCTTGTGGCTCTAATCGGTAAGCTCAGCCTGGATCTACCTGTAGGTGACACTGATCACAAATGATCATTTCTTGGGCTATCTGGGCCACGGGTTCCTCAGTGCTAGAACACAAGAGACCAATTGATGACCATGAATATACAATGTTCCTGCAGATACAAAGACAAAAACAAGCCATATGTACCCATTACATCAATATGGGCACAGAGAGCAGAGGAGATTTAAATGCAAGTCACATTTAAATTTTATTTTACTGGATTCATTTGAACTGTAACACTCTACAAATTTAAAGGTATCAAAGGACATGAAGACTACTCACCTAGGCTCCAGGTCCCTCCCCAAATACACCCTGTAGAGTATTCGGCTATGGCTCCCATAGCTCCCAGAAAATATTAGGGCATCACAGTCTCCCCGCCTGCTGCTGGAATTCTTCCTAGCCATAGCCCTGGGTTGTTCTTCCCTAGATCTTGGAGGAAGGGACACTGAGTAAGCCCACCGGGACCTCTGACTTGGAAAAGGTCAGAATCTGGCTTCCAAATGGAAGCCCTAATAGAACTATAAACAAGGAATCTCAGAAATGCTGCGCGGGTTAGCCAAAACAACTGGTTATATGCTTCCCTTGCTCCAAGCCTACAATGGATGTGATTGTCAATTTGAATAGCTTAGAATACTGCAGAGGATAAGCGAATTCAATGCCTTGAGAGTATTAGCCACTGGTCAGATGGTAAACTTTTTTCAGTGTTATTTATAATTGCACTTGATTACAGTTCTGTGAGGCGTTCGGCATCCATATATCTCATCTGCCTTGGAAGCCTATTATTGTGACATGGCAGCACAGATACAACAGTATGTATTAAAGGACCTTTTGGTAATGAATCTAATCCTCTGAAAAGAAGGCCAAATGAGTATCATTAATTGTGTCATCAGTTTATCCTGGTACCTCAGTGTTCATTCCTGTTACCTGTATATCCTGAAATAGCTGTTACAGGATTGATGCCTTGATGTTTTCTGTTGAATGTACACTACTGAATAAATGTAGAAGTTTTGTGTTTACCATGTGAGTCTTTCAACACTAAAGATAGCGTTGTTGACACTATCAGTCATGATGGCAATTTCTATATAAAAGAACCTTAAATGGGACATCGTTTTAAGATCAAACTCCCTACCCTCACAAAAACGATCATGTTGTAATAAAAAGTGTGACATATGAAAGAAGGAAAGAAGAAACACAAGAAAAAGAAAAGCAACCTGTGTCCGGTTTGTAAGACAGATCAGTGACAGAAGGGCTTGGGTTTCGGTCTCCCTGCTCACTGTCCTCTCTACCCACTTTTAGGAAGCAGAAACATGGACCAGACTGGCAGGTTTGCTGTCCTACCTTGGTTTCTCCTATACCCTTGTCAGGAACAGACACCCAGGCAGCTGAGCATGGGAGCCTAGAATCTAGATTCAACCCTCCAGCTGAAAAATCTCTCTTCCTCCTCCTCTTTAGGCACAGCTAACCAGTGGCTGACCTTATTCCTTTACCCTCATGGGGCTAGGGAGGAGCAGACTTATACTGTGGTATGCTTCTGGCTTTAAGCTTGAAATGGTATCATCTTAAATTTTCTTTCTAGCACTCAGTGCTAGACAAGAGGTTGGTTCTAATATTATTCCAATTTAAGTAATATAGACTTTAGCACAGAAAAGCTAAGTGAACCATTAGCAACAAGTTAGTGGTAGAGCCTGGATTTGAACCCAGTTTAGACAAGTGAACATCACTCCAGAGTCTGTAATCCCTTCAAGCCCAGCAGTTCTAATGGCTGCTCCTCAAATTAGGCAGAATTGGAAAAGGAGGTTTCCAGAAGATAACTGGAGACACCCAGCCATCAGATGCAGCTTCCTTGAGCGTCTCCATGTTCCTCCAGCTGCTCCCCAAAAATCTTCCCAGCCAAGCCACTGGCTAGATACCCAAAACAACCACTTTCACATAAGAGAGGAAAATAACTCAAATGTCAAGTAATAACAAAAGTGGCTCTAACCATACAGTGAACATTATTCAGCCATAAAAGGAGAGAAATACTGATACATGCTACAGTATAAATGAAACATGGTAAGTGAAAGAACTCAGGCACAAAGATCACATATTATATCACTCCACTTACACAAAATGTTGAGAAAAGGCAAACTCACAGAGAGGCAGAAATATTAATGGCTACTTAGGGCTGAAAGGGGAGGCATGGGTTTCTTTCTAAGGTAATAAGAATGTTTTAAAATTGATGGTGGTGACAGTTACATATATCTGTAACTATACTAAAACACACTGCACACAATCTAAATGGGTGAACTGTATGATATGTAAATTAGACATCAATAAAACAGTTACCAACATTTTTGTTGCTGTTACCAACATTTTTTTTTTTAAGCACCACACACAGTTCTGAGACCTGAGGCCGCTTCCCAGCATGGCAAATGCATGCTTGGCTCAGTTCTGCCAGGTCCATGTTCTCACAGTCCAGGATCTGTCAGCCCTTGCAGAGCCTACAGCTTTTCTCTGAGGGCCACTTCCCTTCATCCCAAAGCCTCTCCCAAGCCTCTGCAGGAGCTGAAATCCAGCCTGAGCCAGCAGGGACAGAGCCTTGAGCCGAGAGGGAGCATTTTTCAGAATGGAGTTAGAGGGCAGGGAAGAGATTTTTTAGCTTGGCAGAGTCCTGGGGGCTCATATGTGGGTTTGACTAAATATAAATCAGCCGGGGCCTCAGTTCCTTTTGCAAAATGAGCAACTGAGCCCCCATTCTAAATTCTTACATGACTATTTCATGAAATGGTGGGTCTAGCACCATTTTAGGCACTAGCCACGGCATGGCTTGCTCAGAATAGACAAGAGTGATTCTGAGGATGGTCCACATAAAATCAGAATGTGGTAGGAATATAGGAATCTTGTTTGTTAAGAAAGAAAAAAAAAACACATTTTGCAAGACTCTGAGTCTTCTCATCTCTTAGTTCATTTAAACTCTATGATGAGCATGGTTATAATTTCTGGAAATGGACAGCTAATAGAGAGCAACTCTATCCCAGCAGAGAGAGGGTGAAGAGAGGAAATAAAGAAATAAAGAGGGAGGACAGGGGAGAGAATGACATTTTGGGGGAGGACGCCAGAAGAAACTGCTCCAGGGCCAGGGATAAGAAGGAGCAGACTGTGGAAAGGAGGCTGAGAGGCAGGAGGAAAGTCTACAATAAACAAATGAACAGGACAAAAGGAGGCCAGGGAGGAGGGGCCAACCCAGTAGATTTGAGGAGAGGCAGCAGAGGTGGAAGGTTCTAGAACTGCCAGGAAAAGAAGGGAGATGGTGCTGGGAGAAATCTGGACAGGAGAGGGTCAGTCTCCAATCAGGAGGCCCCCACCTCCCAGGCCACACTGCCCTGGCTCGCCGCTCCCCTTCTCATGCACCTAAAGCCCTGACCAGAATGATTATGGCTAACCACCTCCAGGTGGGCAGTTCCTGCCCACCCGTACCCCACTGCCATCTCCCCCACACATTCTTCCCCATTTCTATAGCTCTCAACCAGCTATGACCTGGAAGCTTTTTAAATATATAGACATCTACCACTAGGACCACTAGGAAGCCATTTGGCCTGCAGCTGAGTGTTACTATTTTTTTTCTAAGTTCTCCGGGGTAGAGTAATATGTTATTGAGTGTGGAGAACTTTTATCTTTTTTTCTTTCTTTCTTTCTTTTTTTGTATTTTTGTATTTTTACCGGTACCAGGGATCGAACTCATGACCACACGCTTGCAAGGCAGGCGCTTATGCCGCTGAGCTAAATCCCCAGCCCTTATCTTTTTTTCTTAACCTTTACTGGCCCTGGGTGCCAGTAAAGCCAAAGCCAAAGTGGGTGCTGCCTGCTCTACACCTGCCTGGTTAGATAGCTGCAGGGTTTTGTCAGACCTGTCAGCACTGGTCCTGCTAGTATGCCCCTCTACAGACTGGCCTAGACTCACAGCTCCCCAGGGAAGCCCCGGACTCAGTAGCTCAAGAAAAGTCCCAGCACGTTGTACCATTCCTGGCACCCTGGAGACAAACATTGACCACCTTAACTATTCTGGCAGCCTAGCTAGGATTCCTGCTCAAACAGAAGAGACAGAGCAAATCAGGTAGATATGGGGGGGCTTCCCCACATGGGAGAATTCAGGCCCACATGCACAAAACCCAGGACTGAGATGCTACAGTGAAATGTAAACAGAAGCTGAGGTTGCACATCCTTTAGAACACCGAAGGCTAGCTGAAGAACCCCTTTGGATAAAGACCAGCAAAAGTAAATAACAGGTAGCAGATCCATGGTAGATCCAGACATAGTAGGTGGCTGGTTTTGCTGGACCCAAGACCAGAAATCCAGCAGCAGATGTGAGTTCCTACTCCTGAAACAGGGGTGATTTCTCAAGTTCCCCATTCACCATCACCTGCTCCCTATAGGATTCCTGCTCAAACAGAAATTCCTGCTCCCAGTCACGGATACTTTCACTCATTTTGTGTTACCCGAAATGAGCCAGTGGCTGAGCCTGAAGACAGCCAGCAATCCAAAACGGGGATAAGCGCCAGAACTAAGAAACTTTACCATGGTGGGGAGCACCTGTCCTACCACCAGAAGAAACTGCTTGTGAGGTCACTGCCCTCTCTCCATTTCAGCACTGCTACTCACCTCTGAAATAAATGCATGTATATTGTTTTACAAAAATCATGACCATTATTTAAAAATTCCTGTAGCAGCCCACCTTATTTTAAAATGTCAATCCCCTGCGGGGTGTGGCATATGCCCCTGTAATCCCAGGACTGGGCAGGCTGACACAAGAAGATCACCATGAGTTCAAGGCCAGCCTGCACTACATAGTGACAATGAGGGTTAGGGTGGGACATTCATTAGCATGCTACTGCAGAGGTCAGGCTCCCAGGTACCTAAGGTTAGAGCACAGGGGAAAGGCAGAGGAAGGAAGTAGGATGCAGATCCTTTCTGCCAGCTTGGTCTCATGCTCCCTGAGCTACTGAGGTCTTCATGCAGTTTATCCTATCTATCCCAAGCACCTAATACCCTTCAGTTGCAGGGAATTTCCCATTCCAGCCATGAGAGTCCTGGGGATTAGATTCTCTGGGGACAAAGGAAGTACTCCCCAGGACCTCACAGGGACCTTTAAGAGGGTCCCCAAACCAGCAAGTAGAGAGGAAAGACAAAATCACCAAGGCAGACAGTAAGTGGCGGAAGGCAGAGAAACCTGAAGCTTCTGAGCCTCCAGGTACCAGGTAAGGGCTGGGGAAATGTCCTGGAAGAGAAAGTAGAGGTATGGAGGAGAAAGAAGCCCCCAAGGGGATAGGAAGGAAATGGGAGCTCAGAAAGACAACCACGGCAGTAATTGCGAGCTCATCCCACACTGGTGACCCACTGGAAAAGACACTGACCTCAGCTAGAGACAAGCAGCAAGAAGGAGCCGAATCGGGCTGAGCTGGGTCCAAGTTCAGACCTGAAGAACTGGCTTGATACTGCCTGGTGCTATCAGAGTATCTTGAAAGGTACAGAGAAAGAAAAAAGGGCCAGACACAGGTTCTGAGTATCTGACACAAATGCTGAAGCGTCCAGCTCGAGCTGGCAATGGAGAATCAGCAGGCTCCGCAGAAAGGTATTAGAAAACTCCAAAGACCCAAATTAGGCTGTGCCTTCACTCACCTACGCAAATATCTCTGCTACCCAAGGGCAGGGCAGGCCCTCTCTTCTTCCTTATTGGAAGACGAGGGTCTTCATTCATGGGCAGCTGGACTCAGTTACCAGCATCGCTGAGGCTGGAGAAGTCCCTCCCCGCAACTAATCAGCCAAGAGGAAAGGAGAAGACAGATGGACAGGGCTGAACTGTCTTTGCAAATGGCCACACCTTGAAATGGCAGCGGAGAATCACAAGGCGGTAGATACTACTGAGCAAGATGAGAGAGAAGACAAACACTATCCATTTGTCTTCGCCTTCCTTCCTTGCGACTCTCCCCATTTTTCCCACTAAAACCAAAAGATTTGCCCTATTCTGGATAGGGAACACCTGGAGGTTGCAGAGTGAGCCACCAGCCTCTGACCCAGGACCCAGAGCTGGCTGGGCTTCTGAAAAGTGAAGTCCATGGGTTCCTTTAGACCAGACCAGCCGGCTAGAGACTGTCACCAGGCATCACATCAGCATCATCTGAGCCTTAGCAGCCTGGTGGTATCCAGAAAGGGTCGGCCAACTTATGGATTTTGTCACACTGGAGCAGCAGCAGGGCCAGAGTTACTGAGTTTAGGTCACTGCCCACTGCCCTGCCCTTTACCTGCTGGGATCTGCCCCCTACCCTCATAGCCTGCCTTCAGGTTCCCTCAAGTTCCAGAATGGGAGAAAAGGTAAAGAGGCAGAGGAAATTCTCTCGGTCCCTAGGATTTCGGCCAGGTTAGGCTACCAGGGCAGCCCAGGTAGGGACTAAAAGCAAGGACTGGAAGCATATGCCACTGGCTCCCTGGCTCAGTTAGCCTGACAAGAAATATCTATCCCAGCAAATTTGTGCCAAGCAGTCTCACTAGTCTCCAGTTCAGTGTCCCTCTTAAGTGAGGCAGGGAGGTCACCCATAGAGTGCCCCAGTGTGCGCTCTCCAAACCACTGCCGCTCCACTCCCACCCCCACCTGCTATTGCATACCCACCAAAGGGCGGCAGCTCTGCACAAGTAAGCTACGCCTTCCTTATCCTGCACCAGCAGAAGGTAGAGCGGCAGGATGTGATTTTCCAGAATGAAAAGGTACATGGTCAGAGCCCATTCAGTGGCCCCACACAACCAGCCACCTGGGCAGGGACCTGGATCTCAGGATTGGGTGCCCAGAAAGCAAAGGTAGAGAAGGGACTGAAGTTCTAAAGCCTGGGTTCAAGAATCTGCTGTGAAGTCAGTTGTGAGTTCAGCCACAACTTGGCTGCTGTGAGTTCAGTCAAGAAGGTGTCTCTGCAGGGCCAGTGCATGTGCTTGCCCAGGAAACTCATCCTGGATCCCTACATGCATGCTGATCTCCTGGTGGGCAAAAGCCCTGACTTCTTCACCAGATCCATGTGGGCAGAAGCAACAGTGGGAATCCCTACCCCAAGAATGTGAGAAAGGAGGAATATAAGGCACGGAGAAAGAAGGCAGGGAACTCCCCAGAGTCAACATGGACTGGTCCTGCAGGGCTCTCCAGAAACCAAGGACTGGTAGAAGCCAGAACTCTCCCAGATCCAGGCCCAAAGGAGTCTGAGTCTGAGAGGGGCTACAGCCTCTCCCAGGAGAGTGACCCCACTTGGATCCCCACAAGTACTCCTGGAAGCCCAGCCATGGAAACGGATGCCAGGACAGAGACCTGAGCTACCTGCACAGAAAGATCCCATTAGTGAGATGAAAAATTACAATGGTGAAAACAGGACCAGGCATGGTCTAACAGGTGCTGCTCCATTTTTGTTTCCATAGGAACCCAGGTCTCATGTGTGGCAGGTGGACCCGAGAGGATTAAGGATGGGGATGTCAAGCTGAATGCCTGCTTCCTGCTTGTAGTTTCTATTCTAGACTTATCTTACTTGACTGAGATAATAGCAAACTTGGGAGACTCGGAGAGGAGGAAAACTGAACTGAGGGGCATAGGTGGCCAGAGGACTGGGTGACCAACATCTGGGGTGGGGTGGGGGGACACTGAGGAGTCTGATTGCTTTCAGGTCAGGGCGGGAGTATGAAGCTCTGCACATAGTTGTGCAGATCTCTTCAGCCAAGCTCAGTCCCTGCTGGGTCCTCTTTCTCCAGGCTCCTCCTCTAATTCCATAAACTTCTGTCTTTGCCTGTCCTGTTACACGCACCTCAGCAGCCTGAGTGCCAAGGGCCACGAACTTGAGCACCTGGTTATTCCCTATCACTCTCCCTCTATACTCTCTGCCCTGTATGCAGGGTGCAGATCCACCTCTTCAGCCACCCACCCACATCTGCTTCATGGCTGTACTTCCTCGCTCCCTCCCGCTTTTCTCCCCCTTCTTTCAGTTAGTGTGGACCAGCAGGAACTTCCCCCAGCCCTCTTTGCCCTCCCCTTTTCTTAGATCCCAAACAAAGGCATCATCTGCCCAGCTCCCTTTTTGGCAAGCTACATTTGGGATCGGACATGTGCACACACCCAACTAGTCACATCCACACCGGGCACACCCTAAGGTCTGCGTGTACACCCAGACCCCACTCAGGTATACACACACCCCTCACAGGAATCATGGAGGCTGCACCAGAGACACGCTCACTATGAGCACATACCCACAGTCTGACTTTTACAGACACTTAAAGGATCCTAGGACAGAAGCAAGTGGGCTCACCACCATCAGGTCAGACAAAGGAAGAGACATCTGCAGTTAGAGCACGTCAGGGGAGGAGTCACCCTCCCTCTGGCGCGCTCACGCTTTTTATGCGCACAACTTGGCTCGGGAATTTTTCTTGCAATCCCTATTTTAAATTAAAGAGGGAAATCGGCCTGGCACCTGTCCACAGAGAAGCTAGACTCTCCAACAAGTGCTGCCGACGCACACGCCTCAGAGAACCAAGCCCAGCGCCTGGAGACCTTCACGGCTCAGTTTAACCCAGCTGGACCTGCAGCGCTCGCAGGCGCGCTTACCTCGGCGCTTCGCTTCTCCGCAGCCCAGCGGGGGCGGGTCGCCGAGGCCAGACAGAGGAGCAGGAAGCTCCTCGAGAGAAACCCCAAATAAATGCCAGAGCTCTAGCCTACTCTCTAGGTGCAGCTAAGTAATGACCTCGGAGTTGTAGTGCAGTCTGGCGTTTTCCGGCTACCAAAGTCTCATCCTCACCCTGGACTGTACTCCGCTATCCGTGCGCACCTCTGTCCCCACCCCCAGCCTCACTCTTCGGGCTCTTTTACCCGGCTCTCGCCCCAGGCAGCCCTCGCAAGAAAGCCGAGAGGGACTTGCGTTCAGTGTTCAGGAGTGAGGTTACGGGTAAGAATGTGAGGAGTGGCGCCCCGAACCCGGTTCTCTGCCCGTCTCCCCACCCCACCCCCGCCCGGCGCTTTAGCAAGTCCAACCTCCAGTTCTGCTAGGTCCCGCCGGTCGCCTTCCTCGCTCACTTTATGGATCCAGCTGAACCGGACTGGAGAGCTGAGGCTGCGCTTCCCCGGGGTCGCACGTAGCGGAGAGGCGCCTAGGGCGATGGTGTTGGGGAAGAGGCTGATAAACTTTAGGAGAGGGTGCAGGGTACTCCCGGTACTCCCGGGTCGCCCCAGCCTCCCTCTGCGGAGCCCGGAGCCGGGCGGGATCTGAGGTGGAGGAGGGGGACCGCCGCCCCCTCCGCCTGCTCTTCCCTCTCCCCCTCCTCTCCCAGGGGCGGAGCCAGAGCAGGTCGCCTGGACCGCGAGAACCCTGACTCTGGCCCAATCAGCAGGGAGGGGAGGAGCCTCCGGGCGGGGGCGGGGCCTGAGGAAGCGCGGCCCGAGTGGGGCGCGAGGGGCGGGGAGCCGCGGCTCGGCCGGCCCAGGCTGGCTTGGCGGCGGCGGCGGCGGAGGCTGCAGTGGCGGCCGGCATGGGCGATGGGGTCGCTGAACGAGACCTCGGCCCCGCGCGCCGGGCGGAGTGTGGTGGCAGCAGTGGGCGCAACGGAGACCTCGGTGGAGCGGAGGACTTGCGAGCGGATGGGGGTGGCCGAAGCCCAAGGGAGACTGCGGGGACCTCGGCTTCCAGCCCCGCAGGCTCCAGAGAGAGCAGCGCCGACAGCGACGGGCAGCCCGGGCCCGGCGAGGCGGACCACTGCCGCCGCATCCTGGTACGAGGTAAGAGGACAGCGCGCGGCTCCGGCCCACGGGCACCCATCCTGCCCACTCGAGCCTCAGACCTTTTTGCAACCTCATCTCCCAGGTCATTTATTCATTCATTCAGCATTCAGCCGTTCACTCAGCAAATATTATTTTGAGAGTCTATTGTGTGCTAGACGCTGAGCCCAGGGCGGGGGACAAAGCAGCGAATGGAAGCAGTCCCCGCTTCTTGGCCTTGCAGTTTTCACCCTCTCCCTAGGCCCGCCCCGGCTGGTGACTGCCATGGGGACAGAAACGGGTCAGGGAAAATGCTGAGAGCTCGGTCCCTGCCCCGGGTCCCCCAGGCCGGGTGCGGAGGAAAGCGTCACGCGCTGCGCCGAGACAGGACTTGGAGGGACGGAGTGGGTAGCCGCTGGGAAAAGGGCCAGGGCTGCCCTCCGCGGCCGGAGCGCTCCCTCGCCACCTGCCCAGCCTTGTTTCCCTTCGCTCGCCCGCGATCGGGAGCCGCACCGGTTGCTGGCGGGCGAGGGCTCGGCTCACAGCCGAGGGCTCCGCGCCTGCCCGTCCGAGCTTCTGTTCCGGTTCCCACTTCCTCGCGGCGCCTGGGCCCAGCTGGCCCTGGGCGCCGCTTTCTCCTGGCCAGGCCTTTCCCGTCCTTTCTCTCTCGCCCCTGGCTCGCCTCTCTCCTTTCCTGGTCGTTTTTCGGTGCTCAACTCTCCTTCGCTGCACTCTTCCACTACGCCTGGGGAGGCCGAGGCTCCCAGGCCCCCACCGCCAGGCTCTTGCCAAGCTGTGGGCTCTGCTTTCTCTCAAACTGGGCCTCGTCCAACGAGGAGATGGAAAACCAGGAGTCTTCTGGGTCGTGCCCCCAGCCGGTGACCAGGCCGAGGCCAGAGCCTGAGGTCTGTTGCCCAGCCGTCCCCGCGTTCATGGGTAACATCTCAGCTCCCTTAGGCTCGTTCTGCTGCTGCTCTCTCTTACCGTGCACCCATGGGGAAGCCCTAGCCCGCTGCAGGCGACCTGCCAGGGCTGCTGATTTCCTCCTCTGCCTGGGGTATCCCGAGCTCAGGAATACTTTGGCAGGTCACAGTCACCCTGCATCTGCAGAATGCGAGTGGCTGGGGGGTGGGACACAGGGCTGGAGTCCAGGAGGGAGGCCGCCCAACGGGAAGTTGAGGAATAACTGCCTAAGGCTGGAGAGAGAGAGAAGGAGAGAGAGACACTCGTGGCATGACTTTGTGACCACAAGGTAATTGAAGGCCCAATGACCAGTCAGGGGAAAGGCATAGGTCAAGGCACCACAGAATTCCAGCAGGTGTGTGGACCTGTTGGGCTCCTGGGATTAAATTACATTCTATTCTATAGGCTTCGGGATGTCCAGAGTACAAGATGGGAACAGCTGGTTTGCTTTTATTAAGGGAATCTGTAGGACCTCTAGAGATGGAGAAATGAGTCACCCAAGCCCATACACTCCAAGGAAAAGACCTGAAGACCCTACCTGTGATACACATGCCCCTTCCACCAAAGGCACTTGTAAATTCTGAGTCCACCTACCACATTCTCTACTCTAGTAACCTTGTGTATTGAGCAAATAGTTTTTTGTACAGATCTCAATGAAATAGGCTCCAGGCATAGACTCTTAGAAGGTGGGAGTGAAAAGTGAGCCTTCACCCTGTAAGGTGGTACTCCCCACCAAGCCAGGCACAGACCGATTCCTCCTTTACAAGGGATGGCTGAGTACATTGTCAGTGGGTGTACTTTTATAAACTTATATAATACACAGGTAGCAATGCCGTTCCATTTGTAAAATACGATGGAAATATTAAATACAAAGCACAGAGGATCTATTTACACACCTAATAGGAATGAAAGGCAAATGGAACCCTCATAAATCCTTCTGCCCAGCTCCATTTAATGACAAGGAGGTTATTACAGGCCTGAAATGCCCGGGGACGTCATTTACCACTAATCCCTCCTAGTCAGGGTCACCTGTGTCAGTCACAAGCCGCCCCACCATGGCTTGGGGTAGAGGCTTTGATAAATGGAACAGGCCTGGCACCGGTAAAGGAGAATCCAAAGTGCTTTGGCCCCAGAATGAAAATCCGTCTCATAGGCCCTAAATACATTTTGCCCTTGACTTCTGAAAAGGTTGTTTTGACGGAAGCCATTAAAAGGTGGAAAGGACATATTTCAACCCTGTCCCTGGTTGCTCTTGGGTAAAGCTTTCCCAATAAAGCCCCATTGCTTCAGGGTCTTTTCAGACTCATTTGGTTCTGCAGGCCTGTGCTGAAAGGCTAACCCCAGGCTGCAAGTCTGTTGAGGGAGGGAATCCTCTGCACTGGGAAGCAGAGGAGCTTGGGGGAGGAAAGCTAAGCAAAATTGGTTTAGAATATAGGGACGACAGCTCTCTAAACCTGAACCAGTTCCTTTGTCTCTGTCTCAGTCTCCTCTTCCGTAGTTCACTGAGGATCCAAGAGCTCTGCAAAACTGCCAACACCCCACAGAATCTCAGTACATATTTGTTGAAGCAAGAAGGGGGTGGCTCTGAGGTAACCCACCAATCATTTCTAGTAGATAAATCGGTGGGCCTCAATTGTCAGAGGCCTCTCCCAACTTACTGACCATGCACCGGCAACCCCTCCTCCACCTCCCCCCCACCTCTGCCTAGGTCTCCCTATCTGGACCCTTGGAGAGTAGTAGCCTAGGGCTCAAGGGCCCACTAATGGAGAATGATGGGCTCCACCTTGCAGACCACACAGTGAGTGAGGTCCTCCCTGGTCCCCTTAGAGGATGCTTGGCCACTGTGCTGCACACTCTGCCTCAAAATGGAGGCTGCTTCTTACACACCGGCACAAGCTCGCAAGATAGCAGGTGGGGTGCTCAACAAGCACCCCTGCACCACACTTCCAACCCAGAGAGACTCCCACCCCAGGCTGACAGCCACCTAGGTTCCCCCCCATTCCCTGTGCACCGCTCCTGTGCATGTGAGGAGTAGGGGTAAGAGGATCCTTTTGTTTTATGTTTGGAAAGGGCGCGACAACCTCGGCCCTCTAGCCGTGGCTCTAACCTCGCAGTGCATGGTCCTTTTCGGTGGAGCCGGATTACTGGCAGGCAGAAGACATGGCCAGCTCTGACTGCAAATTCCCTGCACTCGAATACGTGCCTTCGGACGCTTCTTTGTGCTTCCCAAATTAATGCCGACCAGAATGCAACAGCCAATCTTCATAGATCGGGAAAGCTGGTCAGTACTTTTATAGACAATGCGTGGCGCAGGTCTCTGCTCACCCAAAGCTGTCCCGCTGCACTGGACACCACCTCTGCAGGTGAAACCACGTTCATTACGCACCTTTTGAAGCACCCCTCCTTCTGGAAGCCGCAGGATCCCTCGAGGAGTGACCCATCCCTGGCACTTTCATCAGGTGACTGGGAGCAGAAGAGGACACGGGTGGACCCCAAGATTGGGTCTCTGGCTTGGGCTGGGTAAATAAATCCCAGCGTGGCTGTGTGGAAAAGAAGGGGAATTGAGCCAGCAGGGTCTGACCCTTGGGAGGATCCTCAGGCCGCGGGAACCTGCAACACGCTGCGCGATGGCGTGCACCCGGCCAGGCCCGCCTCCCACAGGAGCATCTGAAAGCCCCACGGCTGTGGCTTCAAGAGCTCGGGCTGCAAGCAGGCCGCGGGGACCGACGCCCACTCCGGCAGCCGGGTCTGGGCACGGCGCCGCCCCGCGTCTGCCTGATTTCCATTTGGATGTCAGTCGGCCACCGGGCCTAGGCAGCCTCCGTGCAGCCACAGGCCTAGCACTGTGAAGCGGGTGTTTTGGCGAGGAAGACGAGCTCTGTACTGCACCGAGCACTGGCCTGCGAGTCCCGGTTCTGGCACCTTCGAGGCCCGCAGGACGTTAGTTTTAGCTGAGCCTGTTCATAAATCAGGTAACTCAGCCCAAGCCCCCAGGCCGGGTGAAATGTTTACAGAGCACAGGCAGAGCGCTGCATTTAGAGATATCTGTATTTCTTTTTACTTTTAGTTTCGTGTTTGTGGAGTGTATTCAGTTTACTTTTTTCCCCTGGGGTTGCTTTGTTTTAGTTTGTATTTTTTTTCCTTTTTATTTTGTTGTTTTTGGCAAGAGACCCACATTCTCATCTCAATCAGTGCTAGTGCCTGGCGCTCGGGTCATTGTTTCCCCTTCCAAATGCCCACCAATCCTGCCCTCACACACACAAGTACGCCAGCAGACACAGTTGCCCAGCAGACACAGCTGCCATGGGTCTGTCACCCGGTCTCCATGCTCGGGAGCCACGAGGAGGCGGTTTGATGCCTCTTCTCTCACGCTGGACCCAGGCATGGGGTCCTGCGGTGGCCGCCACCCCAGGAGGCCTCAGTGCAGCCTTCCAGGAGAATCCCTCCGCAAGGGGCACCCGGAGGTAGCCTGCTGACTCTGCGGAGTTCGGAGAACAAAGCCTTTGGGCTCCGGGATAGTGAGTGCTACCTAGGACGTGCAGACCCCGGTCTGCTAAGCACCAAATTCAAGTCATGGCCACTTGCACGTGTCATTTGTCCCCCCTCCCCCACCTATGCCTAACACAGGCTGGAAGACTTTTTGTTCCTTACCAGCTGCCCGACCCTTTCCCCATCCCTCCACCAGCTTTGTCCTTGTCACATAGGTTTCTTTAATTTCTATTTAACTGAGGGTAGCTGGGGGAGGAGCAGATGAGTTTGTCTTTTATTTTCTATTTGCTCGATATAAAGTAATGATTGACCTCTTTGGGGAGACTGTAGCCAGTTTCCTGGCTGTGTACCTATGTCTGCACACACACACACCCATTTGAGATGACTTGATGGAGGACTCGGGAAGCTGTCACCACCCCAAGGATGCTTGGCATATCTTGGTGGCATGAGGCACCCCGGAATGAGATGAAAGTCCCAGCAGCCAAGAGTGGGCGCACCAGTGCGGGATGCTGCTGGGGAAGGATGCAGTCAAGCTTTTCACACTAGGAGCCTCCAACGAACTGGTCTCC